TCTTGGATCAGTTTGCGACGATGCAAGTTGACATTTTGGAACATCTTGAAAAAGGTATTTAATATTTTCGGTCGTCTTATCAATGTTTATAATTTATCAATAAACCAGGTAAGGCGAATCTGGATGATTACTACAAACAACGCGCTCAGTGGGCACAATTCATTATGGGTGTTTCGGCACCAAGTTTAGTCGATCAACAAGTACCAAATTCAACAGTCGATCGACAAGTACCAAATTCAACAGTCAAACGAAAAGTACCAAATTCAACAGTCAGACGAAAAGTATTAGATTCACCAGTCCGTCGAAAAGTAGGTTCAACAAGTTTAGTCGATGTAAGTAAAGGGTGTTTTTTTTTTCGTCTGATAGATCTTTAACTTTAAATAAATCATAAACCAGTTTTAATTTAATCATGAAATCGACTTTATTTGGTTGATATGATAATGGCAATTTTGTTTTAAAGATAATTTTGGGTAACGGTCTCCACAGCGTTACACTACGTTTTACGCAGGCCATTAATTAAACGAAAAGTGGGCTTTGTCGAAAAAGATGATTTTTCGGTATATTTCCGTATCATTTTGGAGCTTCTGCAGGGCCCAACCGACGAATGTGTGACGCATTGGATGGTTATGCCACTTCAGTTCTTGTACCAACTGGACTTTATAGACCTTCAGACCAAGATCTTTCCGTAAAATTCCGGACAAAGACCCACTTGTTGTGCACGTCGTCGAATTGATAAAAAGAACCGTAATTTATCAATTCGCACATTCGTCGGTTGGGCCCTGCAGAAGCTCCAAAATGATACGGAAATATACCGAAAAATCATCTTTTTCGACGAAGCCCACTTTTCGTTTAATTACTGGCCTGCATAAAACGTAGCTGTGGAGACCGTTACCCAAAATTATCTTTAAAACAAAATTGCCATTATCATATCAACCAAATAAAGTCGATTTCATGATTAAATTAAAACTGGTTTATGATTTATTTTAAGTTAAAGATCTATCAGACGAAAAAACACCCTTTACTTGATTAAACAATTTTGAAGAAACTAAATCTATTAAAAAGAAAATAACATATGCAAAGAAAGTCTTTGGACTAAATTCAGACGTTGCCATTTGAACAACAAACACACAATATTAAATTCGTTGTCATTGGTATAAACCTTTATTCATAGTCTATCGAATAGCACATTCACTTTGCACTGAACGGACCATTGTCTTCGCTTTTTCTCAGTATGTATCGAAACATCAAAATTATGTTCTGGACAACCGATTTGTCGATTTCTCTCAATCCATCCAACCAATTGTTGCTCGTTTCAAGTATTTTGGACCTTCGCCTATAACATACATCCAAAAACAGACTAGCAATAACTAATTTGGTGTCTTTTTGTGAAGTTAAAAGATGGTCCTTTTTTCACGGAAATGCTACTTTTTAAGAAGTGAGCCATTATTGTAGTTTTGTCTGCTTGTAAAGCACAATTTTGTCTTTAATCAGATAGTTCTCAACGAATGCCATCGATTTCAACAATAATTGGTTGATAATGGAGCAATTATTGGAGGTTTAACCTAACGTTTCAACACTAAATTTTCGAATAATGGCTCTAAAACACGTTCCAAAGAAGATCCTCTTCATCGAAGTTCGGTTTGTCGACGTCTCTAGCCTTATATAGTAGTGCCCCAACATAATCGATCCAAAAGAAACCACTTGCACTTGATTCGTGGTTCGATATAGCGATGAATGTTTCACCATTCAAAATGATGAATGTTTCAGTGCAACATGCTATAAAGTGAAGTAAACACCCAATTTTTGACACCCCTTGGAATTTTTTCGTTACACATTTTGCTGATTCCTAATGATCGTGTCTAAATCTATTGTTTTGGCTCAAATTTGGATGTGCTGTAACCATAGGAATCACCAAAAATGCATTTTTGCTTGGCATTTTCGGTACTTGATGACAGTTTTGAAAGGTTTGAGCACTCAGATTGGGAATACGACCGGACTTTTTGCTTTTTATAGAATCTTTATATTCATATTAAGTCCATGAAACACGATACATGGTTCGAAGACAGATTGGTTCATCTTTAGACACATGCAGAATTTGTTTTGAACTTTGCTGTCCAAACCCATTTGAGACACTTTTTAGTAAATCCAATTCGAACGTCATCGCGAATGGAAATTTTTTATACAAATTGTATTTTACAGTAGAGTAGGAGTCCAGTTAAGTATCCTATGTGCATTAGTTGACATTTTTATTTTTGTTTATGTGTATCGCAATAAACGTCTGAATTTAGTCCAAAGACTTTCTTTACATATGTTATTGCCAATGTAAGATTGACAATTTTAAAATTATGTACGTTTTTTTCATCTTTTCTTATTAGCCAAACAAAACCAGAGAAACTATCACTTATCAATATTTAATTGAAAAACTCCACGAGAAAGCTACGAAAGTTTTTTTTGAATACGCTCTAACACCTATGTTTACACTCTGTGAGGACGATGTTGTTTCATATATTACAACTTCGTTAGATTCGTTCATTGAATTTTTCAGTTCAATTTCTCTAGACGCTGAGTTACTAAAGAATAAAAATGTGGCACAAATTAATGTAAAATGGGTAGAGATGGTCGCACAATGCAATGACATAAAATTATATCTCACAACATATGCAACTATTTCTGCTCATGTCCCCCATGAAATACAATCTATATATAATACGTGGCAAAGTTCGAGCATCAGTTCATCACAAGAAGAAGACATTGAGACTAACTTATCTGGAATAAAAGAAGTTCATGGAATATATCATAAAGCATTTATAGGCCTCATACATGAATTGATTGGGCAATTCCTTAATTTTGGAGAAGCCACAAATGACATTTACAATGAGTTACTCACATCTGATTTAAATAGATTGAAGAAAAAATTATTGATTTATAATAGATCCCAGGACGAAATTACATATAAATTTGAAAACGCATTGAAAATTTTGCAGAATTATTGTGATCGACGCATAAATTGGGCGAAATCCATAATGGGAATCCCAATAACACTATAAATTTAAATGATTCTGTGGAATATGAAAATAATGCTCTAGATAAAACGGACTTTTCGAAAATTCTCTTGACCAACATTTTCGACCACGTAATCGTTGAAATTAATTTCTTTGAAAAGAATATTTTGAATGGCTGAGTAAATTTAGTTTTAAAATTGTAATAAACTATTTTAAAACATTTAAAATTAAATTACATTTTTCTTCCTATTCTAATATTCTAGTTGGGTTTCAGTAAAAAAAAATCAGTAAGATTCTTATTTCCTTTTCCTAAAAGTTCTATAATGAGAAGTCGATTTTTACTCACGGTTATTTGACATCATTATTGATAATCACATTTCATATAAAGCAAAACTCAATATACAATTTTCCAATCAAAACATGTGACAACAAAAGTATCAAATGTTACTTTGTTTCATTTTATAGAAATCTTGTTAAAGTCACCACAATTCTTTTCTTCGTTCCTTTTCTTAGTGTATCGATGTGTGATTCTTGCATAAAAGAAAATCGGTTCAGTGAACAATGTGGCTCAAATTTTGTGACATTTGCCAAATTATTTGGTCGCCCCCGGGAGCATGCTCTCTTCCTTCTCTCTCTCTCTCTCTCTCTCTCTCTCTCTCTCTCT